CTCTCATGGGCAGTAAGCCTCTGAGTCTGAAGTCTGCCTGGGTTCTGTGCGGGCTCTTCCACTGTCTGCATAACTCTTGGCATGTTGCTTACCCTCACTTGCCTCCAAAAAGGCTTATAAACTAGCACCAAAGTACAGGAGAGGTTGGAACTAGGCCAGGGAATCACAAAGCTGTCACCTCATCTCTTTCCTACCTTGCACAGGTATAAAAGACATAGCAGGTCATATCAGCACCTTCAGAAGCTAAGGTAGACCCGTGCTTGGAGGTGCGACAGGAACGAAGTTCTGGACTGAATTAACTTTTTCAATTAACATTTGACATCTGTTATGTAGGATTTGTATCATTACCTACCTATGTCATCATGTTTTTGGAAGGATGAAATGAGACAATACGTTTACTAGCTTAAAATAATTCCAAGCACATTAAGGTGTTTCTACAAATACTAATGTTAAATTGTTCAGCATAATAATACAGTCTTGGTTAAAGGTAAAAATTCTTAGGTAGTTACTAGCCAAAATCTGGAAGACACTTTTTTTTATGGTAGCATTCCAAAAACCTTATATTTATCGCCATATTAGACCGACAATCCTGGCACATCTTCCATGGCAGCACTCTGCATTTCTACCTGCCCACTCTATTTCAGGTTACCATCAATGTGAGTCATTTCAAATCAACATCACTCGGTCCTCTTGCTCCCGGTGCTTGCAGTTGTCACTTACCATACACATAGTTTCAATTTTCCTTTTCTCCACATGTTGAATAATCCACAGAGGCTGTCTGTTAATGTATAGATGACAGCCCAAATCTAGAGCTTATTAACTTAAGCTCACTGTCTCCTGGTTTCACCCACCTAGTCTGCTTTGCAGCCCGGTTCACAGCAACCCACTTGTGCTGTCTACACTTTTTCTCATGTCCTGCATTCATTTTGTCTTATGTCTTTTTAAAAAATGTATTTAGTACAGGGTCTACAGGGTCTTACTATGTAGATCAGACTCATAGTGAACTTCCTGTTTTCAGCCTCTCAAGTGTTGGGATTACAGGTCCATGCCACCACTCCCAGCATGGCCCAGGGGTAGGGCCATCATGGCTTGTGGTGCTGGGGATCAAACCTTGGGCCCTGTGCTCTGCCTAAGCAGGTGTTTTAATCTGCTGAGCTATCTGGCCGGCCCTTGTTTTATGCCTTTGAATACTCTCTGATTCCACTACCTTCCCCAGTGTTGTTCTTGTTGGTACTGGAGGGCTAGGGGTTGAACCCAGGACTTTGCGTATGTTAGGCAAGAACTCTCCCACTGAGCTACCCCCATCCTCTCTATTTTAACCTTTTCATACTCATTTATGTATTATAAAGTCAGAAACTATTTGACAACAACTGAGCTGCCCTAATGATGGTAACAAACAGGCATGGCATGACCAAGAAAGAAGTCAGTGTCACAAACAAATCACAAAATCTTGTCACTGCTCTCTCCTTCTAGGCTGGACCAGGATCCTGATCTACTGTTGAACTTTTGGTCTGCATCCTCCTGACATATTGACATTGAACAATATGTTTCCTAGGTTGAGTCCCCTCAGTTTATTTCTGACTTGATTGTTTGTAAATCACTAACTTGAGACATTCCCTGGAGAGCTACTTCCTTTACCATTTCCCATACTCTCATGTCTGACAAAGATCAGGTGTGTCTGCCTGGGGATTAGGCCAAGAGCTAGAATCAGATTGATCCTGGTGATTTGCTCCATGTCCATAGTAGAAAGTCCAGACTGTGAGAACCAGCTACATTATTGAAAAATGATTTTATATCAAAATCAGTGTCAACAGATCTAAGGGTAATGTGCAGATATAAAAATAGGAGGCAGAGCCCAAGGATCTGAGGCCTGGTGGACAGAGATATGTGAAGCAAGGCAAGAGTGATACAGGGCTGTAAGCTCTATGCAGTAGGGTTCCTATATGTCTTGTTCATCATTGTACCGTCAGCAGCACCATAGGAACTTTTGCAGACAATCAGTATTCACTTGTCCAATGAATGTCTTGGATGATTGCTATAATCAGGGTGATCTTTCTTTGGCTTATTGTCTTGGACAACATAGCTAGTAGACACTTGATAGCCAGTGAATTATAAGGTATAGGGCTTCCTCCTGGGGCAACAATATCTCCTGAGTTAGGCAAAGACTGCCCTTCCCTAAATTTGTCCCTAACTGTTCTGTGTGGGCCTGGCTCAGGCTGCTTATCTTGTCAGTCTCCTTTAGCAGTGCTGAGACTGCAGCTGGGACCCAGAAACACTGACTGGCTGTGGTCGAATTCAGTGAGGCTTCCCTGGGTAGTTATCATTGCTTTTTTTATTTAATGATTTTATTGAGAAACAAATATCAATGAGACAGTTTCACAACTGATTACTAGCACATTTTCAATAATTAATACATTGCATATTGTTGTCCTAGTGGTTATTCATAGTACAAGATGCAGACATGATATCCTCCCCAAATACTGTTAGTACATATCTATCTTTTCATTGAATTAAGAGAAAGTAGCTGTATATCCATCCTATTTTGTATATACATACATATATATATATTTCACTACAAAATGGTCCTTCATTTATATCCCCCTTTTGTGTTTAGTTTTGTCAGAGATGGGTATTGCATTACCATTTAAATATTGTAGGTGCTTGAAGTCAGCAAAATAGTCCAATATTGTCCAGTAGTCCATAATCATAGTGGGTTATACATAGGACTGGCAATGTCAGAAGTTGTTGACTTGAGCCTTTTACAGCTCAGCATATTAATATGGCTTTACTTTTTATACCTCATTTTTATATTTTTCTGCTGGATGGTTAATCCCAAGATAAAGTAAGACCTATATAACAAGAAATGTAACTTTTGCATCTGACAAGGGCAATCAAATCCCCTCAGTTGCCATCTTAGTGTGATCTGGGGGTGGGGCCGGCCCGGCACATCTGAGTATCTAACCCCTGCCACTGTGCTCTGCCAAAGCAGACACTTTGGTCTGCTGAGCTATCTGGCCATCCCTAAGAGCATTTTTTTTTTTTTTTTTTTTTTTTTTTTTGTACCGGGGACTGCACTCTGTACCCAGCACTTGCCAGGCAGGAGCTTATTCTACTGAGCTATCTCCCCAGCCCCCACTGTGTTTTTAAAGTGTTTGGAATGATGGGAAAAAAATGCTACCTACTGTGGTGAGAGTTACATCTAGAGTCAGAAGATTTCAGTGTGAATATTGACTCTGTCATGCACTAGGGTGAAAATACAATCTCTCATTGTCTTAGTGTCCTCATTTAGAAAATGAGAATGAATGGTTACTCAGTGTACTGTTCATAAAAAGATTAAATAACATGTGCAAACAGTTCAAGTGACATAGCTATACCTTTAGCTTATCCACAGACTCTTTAGTGTTCTCCCCTTCAAAAGGCAGAGCCCAAGTCTCCTTTTAATGTACGGTGGGCCTCATGATTTGCTTCTAAGGGACAAAATGAGGCAGAAGCGATAGTGTGCAGAGTGGGAAATTGTCATATAAAAAGGTGTCATGGCTTCCATCATAATCCCGCTGAATTATTTGGCCGCAGGGGAGCCAGTTGTCATACTGGACACAGTCCTATCAAGAGACCTGCGTGGTGAGGAAGAAAGACCTCCTGCCAGCATGCTTGAGCTCAGGAAGCACATTCGGAAGCCCCAGCCATCGGGTTGACTTCATGTCATGAAAAAACCTGAGTTCCTAAGTTACTCCTAGATTCCTGAACTCCAGATACCCTGTGTGACATATTTTATAAGTAAGTTTTGAGGTAGTTTTTCATGAAGCCGCGAACAACTAACACAATGCACACTGTAGAGATTTAAAGCATTATTACTGAAGATGCTAATATTTGCTGAATGCCATAATGCCATAATGAGCTACAATTTATTACTGATTGATGAACCGAAGAAAATAAAGAAGCAAGAAGAAGAAGGAAAAGAACAAGAGGAGGAAGAGAAGGAGGAGGAAGGAAAGAGAGGGGAAGAAAACTAGACACCACGAAGAACGATGAAACATTAGATCAAGGTGAAGGTTTTGTTGAGTGATTGCAGGCGCCTCTCATTTGCCATCTGCTTCCTTTTCTGAGTGCTATCTGCTTGTGACAGTGACTGCAGGCTATATGCCAGAAGCTGCTGGCTAGAGGGACTGTTCATTCCTACAGGCTGCTTTTTAAAATTCCATCTTCAGTTCTCATTTTCAGACAAAACTGATAGCTTTAATTATATAAGAAATGAAAGTCATGCATCTCCTCTACAAAAAATGTGAGTTTTTTTTTTTTTTTTAAAGAGAAAGTCACCCTGCTTTTGTGTTAAACACAAAGGTCATCGACATGGGAATTCGTGATTTCTTTGCCACAATGCCAATCTGAAAAACAGTGTCATTCCTTTACGGACAACTGGCAACACTGATCCGATGTCCTCCACTATTCCTTTTTTTTTTTCTGAGGGATCAAACTCAGGACCTTGCACTTGCCAGGCAGGTGTTTATGCTGACAAGCCGTCTCCCCATGTCCTCCACTATTGATGATATCACAGATGAAAGGGCTAAACTTATAGTCCTCAACAGTCAGCTTGGTAGATTAATTTGAACCCAAATAAATTTAAATGTGAAGCAATCTAACTATCTCTGACCTGCAGGATGGCATTTTGTGACCCAGATTTTCAAGCTCCCCACTGACATCATAGTTACAGCAGAGGGCTCCCAATGTATTATCCCATTTAAAATACGACCTAACTTAGTTAATAATAAATACCGAGTTTAGGTTCATCTCTAAATAGTGATCTTCTCCAAGTTTCTCTAGGCTTCAAGTGAAGGACTTCAGAAATTGCATCAAATCTTTGAGGCCATGAAAACGATATGTAATTAATTTATCCAAAATTTCATAGTGAGCTGGCTGAAGTTTTTTCTTTTTCTTTAACCTTCTGTTAGGTGAAAGGATTAATAATTTATGGAGGAAAAAGCATGTGAAAATATTCTTACTTGTAGGAGATGCGCTGTTGGCTGGAGAAGGTTGGGTGCCCAAGGTAGATTCTGTAACACTGAGAGGAGACCCTGTTGGGAGATTCACAGAGCCTGAAAGGGAAGCCAAGAGACAGGAGAAGTTAGACAGCTAGGATGCAGGTCCTGAACTGATGATTTAAAGTGAACTAAAAGGCCTTAGTTAACATACCAAAAGGGAAGGTTAAGGGCCCTAGGAAATGGGAGAGACAAACAACAGGTCCTTAATAAAACAGTGAGATCTTAGAGGAAGCGAAATGCAAATGGGACAGCATGCTTTCCAGACAGCAAAGGCTGAACTGTAACCAAAAGCAACCCTGCTTTCTGTATCCTACACTTCTATCAAGAACTGTGTAAAAAGTCAGGGCATCTAAACATCTTTGGTGTCTGCCTTATGGAACACCCCTCTTCTAAGAACAGAGAGCTTTTTAAATTTTTTTCCTAATAAGCATGCATTTGGTCATTCCCACTGCTTGCTGTTCACAATTTTGTGGACTTCAGTCTTCCTTGCTCCAGAACAAGCACCTGAGAGCTAGACAGATCCAGTTATAACAGGACCAAACAGACACTTACAACGAACCAAATATTGAAGCAGGAAGATAGTACTGACATAGTTTCTAAAAATATTTTACTTTAGTTTATCCATTACCTAATGAATAAATATTGAGGGGCTGCTATGGTCAAGGTGATGAGATTTAATGGTGAAGAAGGAGAGCATGCAGCTATCTTTGAAGAGTAAATATTCAACAAAGAATTCAGGGAGGCACTGCCTACAAGGTGACACAGGACTGCGACATGGCGCAACCAGCAAGATCCAGGTTTCTGCAAATATTTCCTAAAGAAAGTGGCATTTAATTCAAGATGTGGGGAAGCTTATGGTAGCAGTTGATGTTTGAAATACTCAGAAAATAACCACATGGTTTACAAAATCCATAAACTTAAACAATTTTAGTAAGAATAGAAAAATAATTCAGCTGCCTAATTAGATGTAATATCAGTAAATTTAAGATCCATAGTATTACTATGAGTTTTCTAACATTTATGGCTACAATTTGTGTGTGTACATGTGTGTATGTGTGTGTGTGTGTGTGTGTGTGTGTGGAAATAGAGATTAGGTTGTGTTCTTTTGCTTATTTATGTTTTGCATTCATTTCAATTATTTCAACTTCCATTTTTGTCCTTTAAAGTAGATATATTGAGGAATAAAACAATTTACAAATGCCATAAGGATCTACTTACCTCAGGAACCCATGTATTAAATGTGGTGAGTTGATTTTTGAGGTAGGAAAATGTTATAGTTTTTTCTTGATAGAATGTCATTGGACGTAAGTGTCAAACTATATGACCTATGTCACTTACATATTTAGCTACAAATTAAATCGATAGTTTTTTTCTGCAATTTACTTTAAGGGACAAATATATGCAATTTAATTGCCTCTTGATAGCACATAGCACCAGTAGAAAAGATCTGTTCTGTTGATCTAGATACCTGTGTGTCTTCTGCTTGTCATTGGTAGTATAGCCATCGCTGCTGGCTATAGGCAGTGCTCACAGCTGGCTATGATGGAAATGTTTCCATGCTATCTACCTCTGAGGGGAGGGAGAAGAGTTGTGCATATCAGCTAGACAAAATGACCATATTCTTCTTCTCTGTCATTCATAAATTAAATATCTTCAGCAGAATTTATAATGTGGCTTCCTACTGCAGTACCAACTTTTTTTTTTTAGGTACCGGAATTGAGTTTAGGACCCTGCACTTGCCAGGCAGGTGCTTATTCTATTGAGCTATCTCCCCCGCCCATGCACACCAACTTTGATACTGAGTATCATTTCTGTTCTCACTTTCTAACCAATAGTCTATATTTCAACATAGTTTTTCAAACACAATACCTTTCTTGGTCTTTGTTCCTGCTGTTTCCTAATATTTTCTTGTTCTTGAGTTTCCTAGAATACAACTTCTTATGAGAAAAACTGTATTTTTAAAATAGATTTTCCTTTTTTTGTGTTTTTTAGGGAAGAGTCTACTGGGTGTTCACGGTTGCACTACTAGATCAGACTTGTATTATCTGCCTGTTTACAGCCTCCCAAGTGCTGGGATTATAGGCCCGTGCCACCATGTCCAGTCTCAATTGCCATCTCAGCGCTCCCTGGGGTGAGCTGGCACCGTAGGCCTGGGGATCGAACCCTGGCCCCTACACCTGCTTTCAGGCTCTTTAAGCCACTGAGCTATTTGGCCAGCCCATCGATTTTTATTAGTACCTATTATTTTTAAAATATTGTGTTTCAACATTGTGTTTTAATATGTGCATAAAACATATTTTAATCATATTTACTCCCTAGCTATGTTCATATTCCTCAGTGTTTACTCTTTATTACTCAATTTCATCATCTGTGCCTTTAAAGAGAAGACATTTATTTTATTCTTCACTGTAATTATGGATCCTAGCCAATGAAGATGACAGGAAGCATTCATACTGATTAATACCATAATAAAAAGACCAGCTCTTAGTGCATATAGTACTGCTGGTACATTAAAGCATCATCTTCTAAACTAGTATCTTAGCAAGATGGAGCATGGGCCTTGGCAGTGAATGCTTAGATGTTTTTCTCTATGGGTTGATTAGAACAGAGTAAGCGGGGATGCAATCAAATCCTGCCCAATGCTCATGTTTGTAAGTAGATTTTTATTGCAACACAGGTGTGTCCATTTGTTTAGATGTTGTTTGCAGCTGCTGTGACACTGAGTGATGTGATAGAAACTATGTAGTAAGCAAAACCTGAGATATCTATTACCTGGCCCTTTGAAGAAAGAGGTTTGTTAACTTCTGGAATGCAAGATGTTGATAAATTATGCTTAATCCCAGAGTTTTATTTATTTTTCATTGGGAAAGGTATATTTTTCATCAAAACATGTTTGTTTTAGGATACCATTCCCATATATTTCATTACCAAATGTCTTAGAAAGCTATCATAAGATTTGCATTCTGAGAACATTTTGACCTGTGATAAACATAATATATAACTTTCATCCTGAAACTTAAGGCAAAACAAACAAAGCAGCACTAGGACTGGTTTCAGATTGGACTTTAAAGCACAAACTATGCTTGTTCAAAGCAGAACTCAGAGGATGAGAGAGGGAGTGATTCGGGCCCAGCAGGGAAAAGGAATTTCCCCAGTCTCCAAAGCAGAATTCAGCAGAGCCCTGTCATCTAGTTTTCAGGTCACCGCATTCATCATGGCTGTTGCAAGAGGTTGTGCTGATTTTCTAAAGCAACTTCACTGATTTTCAGGAGCCTCACTCTGAAAGAGGCTGGGCCCCATCTGCATCAGAGCCACTGCAGGGATGCCCACAGCCGTGGGTCTGAGCTCCAGGAGCAGCGGGTTCAATGCTGGGGCTTCCTTAGAGCAAGTGCTCACCTTATCTGCCCCACCTAGAAGTGAACCAAACCCCAGGGCTTGCTAGAGCCTTTCATCTCTAAATGTGTTCCATCTACCAGGAAATCATTTTTTTTTAGGGTCTTGTTAGAAATGTAACATCTCAGGACTATATTTCCTGAATCCTAATCTGCATTTTAACAAGATCCCTGGGTGATTTCTATGCACATGAAGGTTCTCTATTTTTTTTTATGGAGTTTTTTTTTTTCTTTATTGAGAAACTTAAGATTTGGGTACATCAAATAAAACCAATTTCTGGGGAAAAAAATCAAAACCCACAATAGAAAAAAAAAGTCTGGGCCATAGCAGAACCCAGAGAATATACTTTAATGGGAAAGAAATCAGTGGTAAAGTCATATTTGTAGGCCGTGCATAGAAGAAAGTAGAATGGCAGGCTGAATTAAAATGGAAATTTGAGCAGCTGAAACAGGAGAGAATTAGTCGATACCAGGGAGTGAACCTCTACGTTAAGAACTTGGATGACACCATTGATGATGAGAAATTAAGAAAAGAATTTTCTCCATTTGGGTCAATCACCAGTGCTAAGGTAATGCTGGAGGATGGAAGAAGCAAAGGATTTGGTTTTGTCTGTTTCTCATCTCCTGAGGAGGCAACCAAAGGTTCTCTATTGATATTCTCGGGAACCCCAGGATTGGTGACAGGTACCAGGCTAGGTGAACTGCAGAAAGTCATGAAGTAAGAAATATTTGCCGGACATTTCCATCTCAATACTCAGAGGTCCTAACATCTCACTATGGAGATACTCCTTTTTATTCCTCTCTCTATGCCCCCAATTATACACTCACAATTTACACACACACACACACACACACACACACACACACACACACACACACACACACACAGAGTCACACCCTCTACTTGCCAGCCCTGGACTATCTCTATCCCAAAGGTCTTTATTTCAACAGTTACAGTTGGAAAATCACTTAGTGAACACATTTCTGTCAAGGCTGATGACAGCTGGAGTGTTTGTCAACCCCTGGAGAAATTTACATTCAGTTATTCAGTTTCTGGAATAAAATAAAACAAATTATCTCCTCTCCACTTGAAATGAACAACAGCCTCAGAAACCCCAACGCTTCCAATATACCCACCAAATGGAAAGCAGCATTACACTTTTACACGTTCTGATAAGCTGCAGGGCAGGCTGCTTCGGGAAAGGACATCTTGTCTTGCTTCATCTTGTTTGCAGATACCATTGACTCCTGAGACTTTTGCAAGCTTTGGTGCTCATATAACTATGCTAAGCTTGCCAGTCATGCTCCTTTGGCCCCCACCCCTTTGAGTTCCGTGAGCCCCAGAGTCTCACTGAACAGAGACATCTCAACGTCCTAGGAGACTGTGCAGGTAAGGAAGAGACACCTCAGAGGGCCGTTCCTTGTCATCCTCTAGCATTGTGACCCTTTTCTGGGATAGAAAGGGAATAAAATTCTTTTTCTTCTCTCTCTTTCTCAGTAAATCCTTTCCTCCTTGTAATGTTCAATTCCTCTCCTCCTGCACTGAGATGTCATTTTTCTTGCTTTTCATTTCCATATCTTATTAACAATAGCTTGCTGAGGCAATGTGTATTGCATGCAGCAAGCACCAGAAGTGTATTCCAGAGTTCATCAAGCACCCGGCAGTACCACCACACCTCACAGCATGTTTAGAAGTAAGTGTTTAAAGAACGTGTAGCACAGGGAAACAGGATACCTCCATGACACTCTTTTTACAGAGCCTGTACGACATATTCTAACTTATTCACAATGATTTATGTCAGATAAGACCAGAATGTGAGCTATAACTTTGGGAAATGGAAATCTTCAAGATTTATTGTGTTTAATATTTGATCATGAAAGCTAAAAGCTCATTGACAATTTATAACTCACCACCTGCTCAGAACCTAAAATTATGCCAAATCAAGGACTGTCTTATAAAGTTGAAATTATATGTGCTTTGGGGTATTGGAGTTAGTATTCTTCCTTATTACTTTAAAAGTGTTAATTATTTTTTTATCTTGAAATTAAGCATAATTTTAACAACAGAAAATATTGTTTTTCAGGCATGAAAGTATGATTCTCTCTTAGAATTCATAGATTCTCTCAAAACTACTGGCAAATTGATGTGAGAAAACGTTAACTTCAAGACTACAACCTGCCTCATGTATAGCCTTCTAGGAAAGAGGTATTTTTATTCCTGAGGGAATTAGGTGATGTTAAGTGACGTGATTTTAGTGCAAATCCATCACAGTTTTGGAATGAATCACTCAAGTTGTTCCTCCATCCCCAGAAACACACAGGTAGAGCTCCAGGGGTGATGTCACTGTCCCAACATCAAAATGACACCTGCTTCTGAGCAGTGGGAATAGTTTTGAAACATACACACCCCTCTTCGTCCAAGGATCCCAGTAGCCAAGCATTGTATTTGTGAGAGAGCTTGGCAGGACCTAGGATGCAGATTGTGTTCCTGAAATACAGGAAAACTCCCTCATAAATTATTCTGTTTTTATGAGCATGTTGTTTACTACAATATGCTTGAAAGTAGGATAATGGTTAAGGACCTTAATAAGCCCATATAGAGAATTATAATAACGATTTACAAATCTTTTTAGCTTTACAACATTTCTATTAAATAGGCTCTTATGAGAGTCATCTTTGAGGACTTCCTTTTTATAGGCATATCTTCTGTCACTGCATGTGATCTCACCTTTTGTTTAGTAAAATTTGATCTGACTTAAGGTAGTAAACCTTCTGGCTTGCTAAATTTTGAATTACATAGACAGTGCTAAGTTTTTCTGAGATTAATTAACATAATGAATATTATATTCTTTCCAACGAGACATGCTCTGAAGTCTTGGCAGTTACGGGCGATCCTTGATAAGTAGTTGTGGACTTATAAATAGACAACTCACCCAAGGAAACAGTGATCTTTTCTGATGAGGTATTCCATGCTTTATTTCCAGGGACTGGGAATGAGGCCATACACCAAACTGTGAGGTTGTTTGACTGGGCTGGTTTATTACTATGCATTTTTGTTAAAATGGATTTCAGTTCCAGAAATCCACTTTTGTTTTTCTTCTCTTCATTAGTGATTTGTAGCTCTATAAGACAGGTAAAAATTGTTAAGTTGTTACAATTTTCTCTATCACTTATCCAGTGCTGGTTTCTATTTTGTTTTGCTTTGCTTTGCTTTTTGAGCTGGGGTCTTGCTTGAGCTTGGCACTTCAAATGGTCTTCCCATCGCAGCCTCATCAATGGCTGGGACTACAGACTTATGCCACTTGTTCAGCTAATTTATGGTGACATAGTGTCTAAAGTAGTCAAGTTTCAGCTTTTGTGAAGTTTGCCTCAGCTTCGGGAGGGCTGGAGTTAACCTGAGCTGTTTATTAAAACTCCTTCATGGCATTCATTGATACATGATCCAGGGATTAAATGCATTGATTAATGATGTTACTTTAGGGGGCCGGGAGGATGGCTCAGTGGAATAAGCACTTCCCTGGCAGGCAAAAGGGCCTGAGTTCAATCCCCAGTTCCACCACCACCAACAAAAAAAGTTACTTTATCTGCTGCTGTGAGCAAAAAGGATTTGGGGAAAGACTGTCCCAGCTCACGAGCACTGTGTATTAATAATAGCGAAGTTGATGAGTTTTGGAGAGGCTTAGACCTGCGGAAGGCTCTGCAGCAGAGTTTGGTTTTATAACAGCAATTAGATGCATAAGCTTAAATACTGTATAGTTTCCTTACACGAGAAACTCAAATTTTATGTTTTTTTTAATTTATTTGAGAGAGAGAGAGAGAGAGAGAGAGAGAGAGAGAGAGAGAGAGAGAGAGTGTGTGTGGTGTGTGTGTGTGGCCAGCTCAGCCCACGAGGGGGCGGGGCTGGCTGGCATGTGGTGCTGGGGGATTGAACCGCGGTCCCTGATGCTTTGCTAAGCTTGTTCTAAGTAGGTGCTTTAGACCACTGAGCCATCTCTCCAGCCCCGAGAAACTCAAATTTTAAATAAAGAACAAATTGAAAGACAATACATAGTAGGGAAATGATCTTTCTCAAATAGAAAGACGCTTGGTGGCAACAATGAAGAGATGGGAGAGGGAGGAGAGAGAAGCAAAGGAGATGGAAAAGGAGTGAAGCTGCATCACATACATGGATCAACTTCACACATGGAATGCAACATTATGCACTGTAAAAATGCAGTAATAAAAATATGTTCATAAAAAGCATTATATCTAAGTGGCCAGTAAACTACAGAGTGATTTCAGTAAAGAATGTATTTGGGGCTGTGCATGGTGGTGCACACCTATAATTCCAGCACTTGGGAGGCTGAGGCAGGAGAATCACTGAGTTCGAAGCCCGCCTAAATTACATAGCAAGACCATCTCTAACAGCCAAGACTCTTTTTGGGGCTTCTCACTTCTGAGCTGTTTTGTGCACATGTTCCTAGTTCCTGGTCTGAGGAGAGTACAACTTTCTCTGGGCCCCCTTGATTTATGTTTAGCAGATAATCAATATTTTAGTGATCTTACTGCCTTGTATCCTTTTCCTGAAATAAATGATAGGTTTATAGGCATTTTTCATTTTGGATCCTGTTAGTTTTCTTCAGAATTGGATTCTCTTTAGCTGCTAGTGTTGGTACAACTACGAAACAGAATACATGGCACCAGGAAATTAATATATAACCATTTAGCACCATAGGTCAACTCTCTTGGGACTCTCCCAGCTTCCTTACAGTCCAAGTGCTTAGTGCTCTTACTTCAAAAGAGTAGAAGCTAAATGTGGTTGTGAGGTGTGGAATTCTGACCAAACAATTTGGCCTTCTTGGTAGTGAGAGTGAGGGGCACATTGTCTTTGTGCTTTCCTTATGCAGTGTTTATTTATTAGGAGGATATATTTATAATAACCTTTAATTATTCTCTTGTCAGGATTGCACTTTCTTATTCCTGTGGGTGAACTGTTTTGAAAGTGAGCTAAACACCACCAACAAACTATGCACCAAATAGTCAATATAATTTTTCACAACATAAGCTTTTCATCTTTCAATTAAAAATAATAATGTAGCAAGAGTTTTGTGACTTAGCTATTGCTGATAATATGTTGATCTTAAAGGAAAAATGACTAAGGAGAGGCCTGTTGTCCAGGCAAGGTTTGCTGTCACAGTTAACACCTAAGAAAAATAGGGCATTGTATGAGCTTCTCCAGTGTGTCTCTGTTCCAGGAATTTCTAATCCTCTTCATGCACAAGTTCCTTTCCAAGGAGGCAACTCCTCAATACTCCCTTCCTCTGGTGCAATACCCTTAAGCCCTGCCCTAGCTCTTCACACGAAAAAGTAGAAAGTATTCATGAACTGGCTTCAAGCAGTGGTGCCATCCAAATGAGACATATACTGAATTAAGAAATGCAAGTATCAACATTGAAAAATCAGGGAACTGATTAATAATTGTAAGTTGAATTCAATATTTTTGACTTCACATAAAATACCTGCTTTTCTTAACCCTTTACCAAAAGTTTTTGTTTGTTGCTTGATGAAGTCAACTGTGTTTTATTTTAAGAAGTGTTACTACCCATGCTCTTGGAGTAGTCAGATGAAATATCAGAAAACAATACTTAGTAGGTAAGATATCATTTTTCTTGCAATGTGAATAATTCTTAAATGCCAAGAACAACTTGGGTAATGTTGATTTTTAATCTCCCTCTCTTTCCCCCATTCCCTTTCCTTCCCTTTTCTTCCCTGTCCTCCCCTTCTTTTCCCTCCCCTCTCCTCTTCCCTTCTCTTTCATTTCCCTTCTCTCTTCTCTCTCTTCCCTTCCCCTCCATTCTCCCTCTGTCCTCTTCCCTCCCCTCCCCTTCTTCTCCTGCCTCCCCTCCACTCCCCTTCCCTCCTCCTCCCCTTCCCTCTGCTTCTCCTCTCTTCCTTTTCTCATTTTCCCCCACTTTTTCTTTTTCTTTTTTTTTTTTTTTTTGCCAAACCTATGTTCATTGATTTGTTTCCTTACCTTCTTTGTCACCCTGAAGAAACTGGCCATCAATAAACCATGAAATATTTGCTTTGGGAAATACCTTCTTTAGTGAGCAGGTAAATATACTCTAGGACAGAGAGAAAAAGGATTATTTTCAAATTTAGATGAAATCTGTGGCCTTCACATCTCCACCAACATAAACATGAGACAGATGGCAAGAAATTATTTTCTCTGTTTCTAACTGGAATAACAACAAAGGTTGTCTACTTTCAAGGTAGATTGTTCACAACTGTGTAATATACATGGGCTATTGCCTATAAATGTGTTAGAAATTTATAGTTACATTTCTCGGTCAGTTTAAGAATCTAGGACTACACTAATGTTATAAGTCAGGATTATGGGTAGTAGAAAAGCAAATCATAATTTTATGCAGGCAGAATAAGCTCACATTAAATGGAAACCAAAGAATAGAAGGAAGACCTATACCAGGTAGAGACCAGAGAAGGATACTGTTAGATTAAAAAGCTAAAAGGATCCACATATTATATTTGCTAAATATTATAACATGCTATCTGTAGCAACAGCCATGAAAATCATTTACTATAAAGATACCACTTTTTTTTTTTACTGTGTTAACTTGTAAACAATCTTCCTAACTTCTTCCATTTTTCTATCTTGATTCTAGAGGGATGATAGGACACACCTCATCATTGCTATTTGACACATGGGAAAAATCAAGGTGCAAAGGATTAAAAGATGAAAGGAAGTTGGCAATAATTAACGCTGCAGCTAGGAACTACATCCCCTCAGTTCCAGCCCAAGATATTTCCTGGTAAATACTGTACTGAAATAACAAAGAAATAAAAAAGCTGATGGCTATATTAGAAAAAGAGGCACCCTGGTTACAGGATTAGTTGTATTTTACTTCTGACACTGTTCATTCTTTGGCTGATAGGTTCTTCCACAGCCTGGTGAAAAGACCCAATAATACATATTAAATGCTTATTGTTTTATCTGATATTCCATAAAGTTATAATTTTATTGTAAATCACCTGTTTTCTTACCAAGGATGTGTATATTTTACCTATGCTTGGTTCTAGCTGGTAGTACTCAAATATTTTCCACAACTGATGAAGATGGTAGTCAATCAGTAAAGAAGAATTAACTGTATGTGATACTTGCTGTGATAATCTACCAACTTGTTCCCCCTGAGGAATTTGAAATTATAGAGCTGAGGAATGAAATTCAAGAGAACTAGTAGTGTTTTTCTGGTGAGGTTCTGCTAAGGTTCAGTTTACTATTTCTAGGAATATCATTATCAAAATCCCAAGGACACAGGGAAACTCTCTAAGGGCTTATCTGTTACATCCAACAGAGTAGGGAGCTCTCAGTATTTCCGCTCAGACATTTATTTTTCCATATACTGGGAACAGATGCAGAGGGCAGGAGTGTAGAAATTTAAAAAAATATGTGTTTTCCTTCCCAGAAAGCAAAAACTAGAATTTCCTAGTACACTTTTATTAAGCAAAGAAAGGAGAATATAGTTCATTTAATCCAATAAGATGCCAAAGATTGATTTCATGTCCAGTTGGTCAGGAAGAAATATAGAGACATACAAAATGAACAGTTAAAAAAGAAGTTTTGTAAATTGGTATTACAGCCATTGCCTGTAACCAGTCTCATGACTCATTTCTTTCACCTCAAGAACTAACCAAAAGCCGATGATGGTAATACCAGCAATAAGTGGAGGTTCCATCGTTTTGCAAAGACAAGTGGCTCACTGAAGAAATCTACTAGCAAGTTCTAAAGATAGTTGACAAGATGACTTTTATGAATTTTAGGGATTCAGATTTCCTGAAATGATGCAAATTTCACATACTCTAAACTATCTCCAGACTGTGCTCCAAAATTTGGCTTGGGGATATAGTCCTTGTTCTAAACTCTTCCCAATCTCTAAAATTTAATCCAATAAGATGCCAAAGATTGATTTCATGTCCAGTTGGTCAGGAAGGAATACAGAGACATACAAAATGAACAGTTAAAGAAGAAGTTTTGTAAAGTAGCTGGAGATTAAAGTAGTTCAACTTGAGGTCAAACACAAAATGTCAAACGTAATATGGTCTTGTGAGCAAGAGGAGCTGTTTTTACTTGGGAACTTTCACCAGGCTTAACTCAGCAAGAAATATAACATGTTAAATTGGAAAAAATATCAAGGATAGTAAATATGCATGAGTGTCCCTGTACATGCATATACATACATACACGTTCCTTGGCTGAAAAGGAAAAAATCTTTTACTTCTTCATTCTGCACTTGTTGCAAAAAGAAAAGTCATGTGATTGTTTTTTCCAACACATATTCTAAGTACATAGTAAGTGAAAACTAGCACACATAATTATGTAGTAAGGGCCAAAAAGCATTTGGACAGTTGTATAAGAGTATAGGAAAGATTATAGCAAAATCTCGGAATAATTTAGAAGACAGTTACATATTGTAGGCACAGCCTAAGGGCAGCATGGAAGAGGAGACAGCATAGATGAGAAGAGGAGGAAGAGGAGGGAAACAGGAGGCAGGTGAAAAGAGGCTTGGAAATGAAGGAGGAGGAGATCAGCGGGCCTGGAGAGCTGGCCGGCCAGTTTGTAAGTGTCATGCCCATCTCCGTGCCCCACAACAAGCGGACCTGGTTTTTTGATGCATGGGAATATTTCTGTCTGGCACCTGCTCATTCTGGGCACCACACCAACCAATATGCTACATGCTGCTTATGTGACAGGTGAGCCACAGCCCAGGGGTCAACGTGGGCACCCCTGCCCTCAGGGGTGACTTGGGCAGAGTTCTGGAGCAAGTGGATGCCCTGGCATCATGGGCAAGTCAGAAGGAAAAGGAGGTGCTGAGGAGGGAGAGAGTGGTGGAATGGTGAGAGATGGCTGTGGAGAGGAGGGAGCAAGTCCTGGAAGAGGAGGAAAGGGCCATCCTGAAGACAAAGTGGAAGTTGAGAGCTGAGAAGGCAGTATGCCCCACGAGAAGGATGGGTCTGCAGTGGGACATCCTTTCCATTTTGTTTAAATTGTGCTCACAGTGTCCATTCTGAAAACACCCACTTTAGCCCGTTCAAAAATAAAGCACAGTGATTGAATGATGATTTGTTCTTAGAAAAAAGTGCATCTTGTGAATCAATATCAGCAGGTTGAATTGAACAGGTGCTTATTTTTGGGCTTCCTAGTGTTTGCTGACCCATGGGCAAACTACAAAATATATTAATGAAAGATAAAGACTTTTTCCAAGATGGGCAGAACATGTCACATTGCTTAGTAAAAATAATAGTGTTTGTGCCTAGCTCTTGGCTTGGGGGATGTTTTCCTGTGGAACTGACCTCATGACTGATGTGACCCGTGTGATCAGCGACTCTCAGAGACCCCAGTGCTAGCAAAGCACAGCCTTCCTGGGTCGGAGTTGCTGGCACTGATACTGCTGATGATAGGAGGCCTGGATGTGGGTATATGGCCTGGTGTCGCCCTGTTGTGGAAAGACCAAGAGGCTTCGGCCTGAGCTCTCCGGACCCTGTGATGCAGCTTTTGCTCCCACTGTTGCAACATGGTATGCTTAGAATAAAGCTATTTCCGCAGGACAGCTTATCTGTGTCCTGGAAGTTTGTTCAACGATCTACCGTATAAGCCAATGAATTTGTAGCTGTCACAGTGTGATCATCAAGACTTTTCAACACTCATGGTTTAGACAGTAAGAATATAGAACATAGAAACTTGCTCGCAAGTGTTTAGTCTCAGTTCACGTTGTGCTCTGTTAATGGGGAGAAGGCAATGAGGAAGAGACACGAGAAAGTCAGAAAAGGAAGACCGAGAGCTAGGGGTCAGTAAGGAGGCCTTAACTAGGAATGGAAAAGAAAAACATAGACGAGCAGTGTGCCAGGTGGGAAGAGAAAGAGGAGCAGTGTGCTAGGAAAAGCTCACCATGAAAGAAGGAAAGATCAGGACTACATCTTCAGGAATTAACTAATTTTGTTTTGGGCCTACAAACCATCCTGCATTTGAAGAGGAGGTTTTGGATTTTATTTGTGCCTCCTGTGAAATGCTAACTGCATAACAATCCATCATTCCCTGATTTATTTTTTTATTTTATTTTTTAAAAATTTTTATTTATTTATTTATGTGTGTGTGTGTGTGTGTGTGTGTGTGTGGCCAGCTCAGCCCACCAGGGGGCGGGGCTGGCTGGCATGTGGTGCTGGGGGATTGAACCGTGGTCCCTGTGCTTTGCTAAGCTTGTTCTAAATAGGTGCTTTAGACCACTGAGCCATCTCACCAGCCCCATTCCCTGATTTAAAAAAATCTGTTTATTGCTAGAAGTTCAAAGATGCTTTAAAGAAAGGAAGTCTAATAGTTCAGAAGGAGAGAAAGATTTTCCTAGTAGGTAAGAATGTGCCTGAAGTAGAAGAAGCAAACTGGATAGTATTCTGGCCTTTGTGCAAGAGTAGACTCTCGTTTTGGAAGATTTCTGTAGGCCCTTTGCTTTTTGAAGTGAGTTGGGAGTGGAGTATAGGATAGGAGAGAGCTAAGGCACACCAGAAAGCATGAAGACGTCCCATTTTCTCCTCAACAACCAGGACTTCATGGGTACATTCTCCCCAGAGCTGATGAGACCTGGGTGTGAGCATGGCCTCTGGCCTTCTGCTCAGCTCATTCTAACTGCTTTAGATTTGCAAGGTGGCTTAGGAAGTAGAGCTGTGGTCCCAGTGAGATCTTTGTGGAACAAACGGCAATGCAAACACCAGATTTATGAAAAACACAGATCATTCTGCAGATCAATAGTGCTCTTCCCTGCACACCCTGGGAAACTGATTGCTGGTTCAGATGTCATTTCCCACGTGGTGGGTGTCCTTACAGGGTCATGGTGACCCTTGTAGCACCCTGTCCATCCAGGCGGAAATCCCAGGTGCTCTCCAGAGCAAACGATGGTGGTTAAGCCTCATCTACCTGAGCATTTGCTCATCACCACTTTGTGCCACAAAAGAAAGTTAAGATAAGGAGAAGCTGTCATAGCCAGTCTCCTAGAAACAATAACAAACCCAAACACATTTGGAATGGGATGCAAGAAAGTCAAGGAATCCACAAGGAAGGTTTGTAAAACCAAAACCAAGAAGACACAGAAAAGTGAATTTTGCATGAAAGTTACCACAGCTCTCCTGCCGAGGTGTGCTGCTGACCTGGGTTTTTGGAGTGGTGTCTCTTTTACACGATGTTGTCTATTGCAGATTCTCTTTATTTTTAGGGATCTTAACTTCAAACTATTTGAAGTTTCCATTGTTTCATGTTAGCTCAATTTCTTCAAGACTTTGCCCTAAATTTTGTGCAATTTAATAAAGGGAGTGACAAGGAAAAGATGGGGTAAAGTATAAAACACAAGCATGTGTAGCTTTGGAAAGCCTGAGCCATTGTACTAACTCTGGAGTTTCTATGCATATCTCTCATGGCATCTTATTCTTTATCAGTAGCTATGGACTGGGGCTGTCTGGCCCAGCATCTTTTACTCTGACACAAAAGTTGGCCGGACCAGGGGACTCCCTTCTCACCTGAGCTGCAGAGGCACAGTGTGTGCCATGTGGGAGCACTGCTGAACTCTTGCCCTCAGCAACAGGTAAGAACAATGATACCCCCAGGAGGGACATTTTTCTTGGATGTCCCTGATATATACAAATCGACAAGGCATCATTGTTAGAATTTTAGGTCAACTATTTTATAGGAAAACCAAATTGGTCATAAACTACAAGTTTAATAAAACTGAACCACAGGTCCCCACTGATGGAGTCCCCATCCCAGTCTAGAACCAAGAGCTGCTGAACAGGGAACACACAGCACAAGTGAGATGGCCATATACACGCTCACTTAGTTAATGCCTAGGGAATGAGAGGGTGGATGGGAAGCTACTGTTAATGACTGCGATGGTTGCCAGGTGGCAGGCACTTTGTATACATTTTCTCAACTGAGCCTTTCTTTACCTTCAAGTTAGAATCACTGCCCCCATTCATTGATAAGGAAGTGAAAGAACTCAGGTCCCCGGGGCCCAATGTAATAAGTCAAGAAGATTGGATGTCATGAGGTAGGAAGTTGACATATTCAAGCCCATTGTGGGCAACTTAGAGACTCAGAGAGACATTACCAGAGTCAAGGCTCTAAGTTCAATCCCCAGTATTGCAAAATTAATATAAACTAGTAATAATTAAAGCTAATCCTATCTAATTATAAAATCTATACCATTTTTTTCCAATATCTCACACTGTAGGGATCGGGAAGATGGCTCAGTGGAATAAGTGTTTCTCTGGCAAGTGCAAGGGCCTGAGTTCAATCCCTGGGTCTGCCAAAAAAATAAAATAAAACAAATCACACTGTCTCATAGAATCATTCACCTAACAGACTAATTAATGTATGTACAGTAGAAGGAATGGGGTAAAAGAGTCAGTGACAGATTACAAGTAGGGAAAGAATTTCTGAGGTCTGTTATGCGCCATGTGCTTTCGAACTCTGCATGGATTTGATTTTCCTAAGAATTCCATGAAGTATTCATTATTATCTCAGTTTTAGAGAGTAGCTAGCTGAAAGTGATGGAGGCTGCTTCCTTCCTGAGGGTCTCTTACTAGTAAGTAGCTTGAATTAGACTTTATGTTAGTGCTACCTGCCCCTTCAGGATGATGTCCTTTCATCAATCCATCATCCCTGGACGTGGGCCTGCTCACCATGCTTCCCTGACATGTCCTTCATTGCTATCTCAGCCAATTGTTGGAGACTTTTAGGCTCAATTTTTTTTACCTGTGAAATGAAAGATGCTCTACCTGTTTCAGAGGCTTACTGAGAGCACCAGAAGATGAAAGCATGTGAAGGGGCGGTGAAGAGCTAATAAGTCACTAAAAGTACAGCAGCTACTAGAAGAATATTGGAGTGAGGAGTTACTAATGTTTGGCAAGATCCAAAAATATCCCCGGACAAGCCATGCTGTCTAGCTGGTGCTATGGAGTTGGAGGAGATCATGGATGGCTTTTCTAGGAGTGAAGTCCTCTGGTTTTCCTAGTCAGCATCTGTGCAAGACCAAAGTGCCAGGTACCCCAAGCAAGACTTGGGTCCAGAAGGAGAGATTTTATGATGTCATTATACATAAGCCCAAGTATTTCTTTGTAGCAACTGTTTTCCTAAGGTCCAACTCATGATTCTTTATCTGGATTGCACTTATAGTACTTGTTTCATAGCAACTTTCCCCTCACTACGACAAAATGTTCACTGCCTACAAGTTAAAGAAGGACTTGCTTTTGCTAATAGTTTCAGCACATGGCTTTAAGGTCTAGATGAGATGGCAGAGGGGTAGGGTGGAGGAAAACAGACCCAGCCTAGGGCAGCCAAAAAGCAGAGAGAAGGGAGGTGCTGGGGAGGAAGAGTAGGAAGATAGAGCCTTCAGCTCATGGCCCTAGTGACCCACCTCCTCCATCCAGGCTTTGCTTCTTAACAGCACACTGAGCTTTAGATTCCACTGCTGAATACTGCCTAGTGTATCCATGAGCTAATTGCTTAACCCAAATCCCCACCTTGGAAGACATGAGCCTCTAAATCCTAACAACCTGTGTCTTAGTTACTTTTCTCTCATTGCTGAGACAAAATACCCAATGCCCAAAATTGAAGAAGGAAAGCTTTATTTAGCTTACAGTTTGTGGCAGTTTCAGTGCATACTCAGCTGGCTCCAAGGCAGGTTGGTACGGATGGGGCAACAGTTCAAGGCAGTGGAAAACAGTGAAAGCAATAACGGCAAAATGGGAGGAGCAGCAGGAAGCAAGCCTCTTTCCTTTCCTTATATTGTGTGCAGTCTACCTGCCCCAGGGTGGGTGTAGCACTCACATCTACAGTCCAGCATTGGACCATGAATCAGTCACAAATTCTAGAAGCCCACCCTATGATTACACGAGGCCTTTTTTTTTTGGGGGGGGGACAGCTAGACACAACCCATAACAACCTGTAAATGGCACTAAGAATGTATAAGAGATCTTTTAAGAAAAAAAGACACCTAGGCAAAGCTATACCATTAGATTATTTGTTTTATTTAATTGTTGAAATAAAGTCTACTAAAAAAGTAGAAATGAATTGGAGCAGAGCAAAAATGTTTATAGAGCCAGAGCAATAGTAGTTAGGCAAGAGACTACTACATGCACTTGGCAGAAGACTCAGATGACTGGAGAAGGCAGTCATCCAAAACCATCTGAAGAGTCTGAGTCATGATTCATATACAGTTGTCAAATCAAATGACTGATATTTATCAGGAGCAGAGAACGTATCATTTAATTTTTTTGAGTAGGGGAAGAAACTAGAATAAGAGTATAATTTTTTGTTATCCCGTGTGAAAGGAAACTTTAGAAAATTAATGAGAATAGTTATTTTACCCAGGGTTCTGAAAATCTGGAGTGAAGTCATAAGGCTGCCTGAAAGCTAATTAACAGAGTAATCAAAATGAGAAAAACAATGATGTTTATTGAAAATATATGGCACATACTACATTAAGAACTTTTTACATTAATTTTTATTCTTCAAACAAAGATGTATAGATACTATTATTGCTACTTCATATATTTGGAGAATCTGAGGGCAAAGATTTGATAAAATGTGCTCAAGATTTCAGCCAACAAGAGTAGGAGCTAGGATGAGAGTCCAGATCCCAGTAGCTAGAGGCTCAGAACTACCCAGAAGCAGAGGGTGCTGGTTTACTTTTAATTTTCTCCTGCTTTCCCTCTTGCTGCCAAAGAAATCAGCAGAGTTCTAAGGAAGTACAGCTGGGCACATTTTTTCTTGTCACTTTGAAATAAAAATAATAGGAAAGCTGGTGCAAGAAATGGATTGCAACAAATTAAATGTCAGCCGAACAAAATCCTCATTCTTACACCAGGATTCAAGCTGCTTTCTGTCCTACTTTTCTCTCAATTTTTTATTAAGAAGAAGTTTAAACAATTGAGTTTATTTTTGTAGGAAATTTAAGAACTACAGATGCAGATCACACCTTCTGAGAGTCCTAAGTCAAAGTAAGGGTTCCAATTTGGATTACAGAGCCAACTCAGTCTCTTTTCATCTCCATCGGCAATTAATTGACCAAGGACTAAAGAGTAAGATCCTTTTCAAGAATATTCTTTGCAAGTCTACAAGCTGACACACCTTGACACATAATACTGCAAAGTTTCAAAGGGTTTGCTGTGACTCACCTTTCCCAAGACATCCGTGGTTTTGTTTTCTGTAATCATGGGGGTTTCTGGCTTAGCTTAAAGACAAAAAAAAAAGTTAGTGGCACTGAATGTAGTTCTAATTAGGTGTGTGTGTGTGTGTGTGTGTGTGTGTGTGTGTGTGTGTGTTCTCTGAGACAGACTATTTGTTGGATATTCATCAAACACCAATTCCAAGCCTGACAGTAGGCTAGAAGTCAAGGAAAGAAAGGTAGGCAAACTACGTTCACTAAAATTTAGATTTTCATAGAAAATGCAGATAATTAAACTAGACATTACAATACACTGTGTGGGATTTGAAGAATGCTTTTTGATCTTGGAGAATAAGAGGCTTTGGAACATGCAATATGCAGCTAAGGCTGGTGTGGGGATCAGTGGTGAACCAAGCGAGACTGGAAAGTGAAGGACCGCAGGAGCAGACAGTAGGGAAAGAAGAGTTTTCTGTGCATCCAAAGGCCAAGAAATAAAGGGTCACTTACAGAACCTGGATGAGAGCCAGAAAAATCCATACTTTTTGAGTTTGTTTGGGAATAGAGAAGTATCAAGAGTAGTTCAGCAATTCTATTGTCCTGGTAGACTGCAAGTCTTTCAAAGCCCGAGTATGTTACCCACCTCTTCATCTCCAGCACTTAGTGCCCAACCGAAGTACACACTGAGTACGTCATGTTAAACTGAAGTGGCTTCAAGTAAGTGTTTGACCACAGCAGCAGAGCTTCTCTAAGAAGTGGAGAGAATATTAAGACCTCTTTTCCCAGAAGCTGCCTGTGCTCACTGCAGTTGCTTAGCATTGACTTCTACATACTGCACAGTCTTATAAGCACAATCCTTTTGCCTGAAGATTCTTTGGGATGCTAAGAAAACCCCTAGTTCATCAGGAGGAAAAACTGAAAGGAGTCAGTTATGATGACATGAGATTTGGCAGCTAAATGTCCTGCCATCCTTGCCCTTCATTGGAGATAACTCTGATGTGTGTTCTATGCTATGTCCCAGTGTTCCCAGTGGAATTGATTTCTAAGCCCATGGTGGTAGCTGGTTTAATCATGCACAGGTTATTATTTAGATTCAATTTCTCCTCCTGTTTCTCAGAATAACATGAAAAATAAACTAACTCAAATACTTGTTGCAGTGTTTTCTTTCAGAAGAAAGCAAACCAAAGTACAACCCTAAAACTCTCAAGAGAGGAAGAATATTTTTGACATCCTACTAGTTGATAAGTACAAGTAGAAGGACCTGAAAGAAACACAATTACTGATACTTGCAGGGCTGGTCAAAACAGACAGAGCCTTTTTGTTGTTTTAAGACAATCATATTTTCATCTCAGGACTGGGGAAAGCAAACCTGTAATGGAGATACCGCCTTTCTAGGGAAAGTGAAGTAACAGAAGACAAATGAGGGAGATGCAGAAGGCTGCAAAGGAGCTGATCTGTATGAAATGAAAAGCTGGTTGAGAACGCATAGTTTAGTGGTTCAGGCTATGAAGAATGGATAGGTGAAACATGTAACTATTTAATATGGTGACTCAGTAGGGAAAAAAGGCAAGTTCTTATACGGTATGTGTTACACTGCTGTGCTAGGACCACTGTAGTGTACAGCCAGGCAATACCCACAAGGCAATCAAAGCCTGGATGAAATGCTATGCAAGAACAACTTACAAGGGCTGGTGAGATAGCTCAGCAGACTAAGCACCTACCTAAGCAAGTGCAAGGACCAGAGTTCAATCCCTGGCATCACATGCCACACTGGTCTTGCCCTCGGGTGTGTCAATCAGGCCACCAACACCAGGCATAGTGGTACAAGCCTGTAATCTCAGCACTGGGGAGGCTGAGACAGGAGGATCACTAGGAGTCCAAGCTGCATAGTGAGACCCTGCCTAAAATACATAAAAATATCTAAAAATAAAAAAATTAAAGCACAAATACAACCAACCCAACCCATTCGCTACATGAGAATGCCATTGGGCAAGGAAAATCTCATCCTATGGATAAGCAGGCAGAACCTCACATTCTAAAGATTCACCAAAAGGAATTCAGGGAGAAATATAGAGAAAGATGTAGAACCAGACAGGTGATAGGAGCCAGATGCAAGGAGTAGAAAGCATTCAAGATCAATGTGAAAACATGTTGGTTAGTAAAGAGATCATTACATTGATCAAAAGTGTACCAATAAAAATTAATTAAATAAAAAGACGCAGTGCACGGCTTAAACACTGATGAGGCAATTAGATCATGGCATGATAGAAAAGCCCTCAGTTAAACAGGGGCACAGCTTGCCCAATTTAAAATTGATATTTTTCTGCATTTCAGATAGCTGCTTTTACAGGTTTGCCAACAGTCAGGTCAGGTGGGGCCATTTCTTGTTAAGGCAGCCCAGGTAGATGAGAGAGAAAGAGGTGGGAGACCCGTTAGTATGAGCTTTCAGTCATACATCTTGGTTGTAGCTACTTCCTTTTTTGAAAATTGTTTTGTTTTCTTCAAAATAGTATATCTTGTGAATTTTTCAATACAGAAAGATTCAAAGAAAAACAAAATTTTTAGTTGCTGTATCATTCAGAGAGCCGGGGAACAGTGTAGCAACCTATGCCCTTAGGTTTTATACTCTGTGTTCACCTCATTTTCTAAAATAATTAATTGCTTATCCATATGACTGCTTTTCTCTTTGCCTTCTTGTAAAAGTGGCTTTCTGAGAAATGTAGGTCTTAGTTACAGAAATGATGAAGTATCAAGAGCCAGAGACTTTTGTTTATTAATATTTCTTGCACCATGGAGCAAAATATAATGTGCATATTTTCATCTTGAAGTTGCACCCTGCAGACTCTGCATTCTGAGCGAAGAACAGTGGATGCTAAAGCTCAGCTCTGCTTTCCTGAGGCTGCAGAACCCACGGCCATCCCTGTGGGTGCCTTGCTGGGAGGGCTGGGGTAGTCTCTCACTGTTCTGGGGAACAGGGTGGGGCGACAGTAGAGGTTCTCTGAGCTCTGTTTGTCATCTATTTTTTTTTTCCTGGTGACCTTATTCAACCTTGATCCAGAAAGCAATGAACATAGACAAATATGCAATTAGATTTTGATGGTTATAATTAAATTAATTTCCAGCATCCTTGGGGAAAATTATTATTACAGACAAGGTATATATGACTCATATGTAGCTTTTATAAAACTCTCCCATATGTGGCTTTCTGTATGATTTCTTTTCCTATGGACAAAATAATTATTCTTTAGCCTTGCATCCTTGTCCTCACTTCCAATAAGAATGATAAAAGTCAAAGCAAATCAGAATTTGGGGATAGTTAACTCTGCTTTAGCTGTTCTTCTATGTAGACAGGAGCTTCGTTTTCTAGGGGACAGAAGGCAGGAGATATTGACAGGAGGATGGTAGGAGTCCATATAGAACAAAAGCCCTTACCAAAGACCTTCACGACAGTGGAGCTCTTCAGGATTTTTCCAGGCTTGACTCCAACGTGGCAGGAGAACTTCCGGCCATCATCATGGGTTTGGACTGGAAAGAGCTTCAGTCTATAGTCTGCACCTAGTGTCACTCTGTCTGTGAAGGATGTGGCATTGCTGATGTGCTGACCCTGGGTGATAATAGTTTCCTGAGTGCCATTATCCCCCTGGTAGAAAAAAAAGGGCTGTTATCAGATATTTGTTTGGGTCAGCTCAGAAGTAGCTGTTGCGTGAGCATTAACTAATTTATTTTTGCAAAATGGAGAGGGAGAATGGTGAATTAAAATAAAGAGGTATTTAGTATGCTGCTGGAGAAAGCATCATTACATTTGACTTTCAGCTAAAAACTACTGTCACCCTCTCCAAATATGAATAGAAGCTTTCAAGTGCTCTTCTGACCCAACTTTCCCCTTAGTACCTTCCAGAAGCTGCATATCTGAGGTGAGATTTGTGGGCCCAAAAGGGGAAACTAATGGCATATCATTTAGAAAGCTCTGAAATTTTAATGTTGTCTTGTAGTGAGGAGAGTCTATAAATTTTGCTTATGAAATTTTCACATGTACTGGGTAATTATAGCCACCCTCTCTGGCCAGAATTTCTTTAGGAAAGGAATTTTAGCTCTTCTCAGAAGCAGGACTAGGACAAGGTAAAGGTGCAAACAAGGTACAGTGTTTAAGCAGGCCTCATTCTCAGGACCTTGTGGGAGAGGGGTTGGCACCTGAAGTGCATGCCTCAGTGAACTGAGTCCTTGATACCTCTTTCCTCATCCCAGACACCTATTTCTTTATCCTAATCATGGTCTTTGCCATTATACCTTTATGTGTATTCTACCAGTAGCTTCAAATGTTAACCTTGGTTTGAGATATCAATTTATCTGGTGTACTTGGCTCTTCTGCTCCATATTTTTCCTTGGATCTCTGAAGAAAAGCCCTTGTCATTCTTACTCTGTCCTCTATTTCCATGGGCCAGCTCCCTGTGGTTACCATCAGTAAATGTGTTGAGCAAGTTCTCCACAAATGGAGAACTCAAGGGAGGACCAAGGTAGGAGAAGGGCTAAGTCCTCATACTCAGGTTCTATAACTCAGCATTCTCAGCTGAGCTGCTTTGAAGCTCTTGATGCACAAGGTCTTTGTTCTTCTACAGGCTCTCAATCTAGCTCTCTGAGATTACCCTGAACTGGGACATTTTTAAAAGTTTCTCAGGTGAGCGTGGGCTGAGAACCACTGGTGTAAATAAGCCACAGATGAATCACTTGGCCCAGAGGAAATGGGAAGAGCTAAGACCTAGAAGGGTGAACAAGAGAGCATTTGGAAGGCAAGAGGTTACAAAATAATGAAAGCAAATACCTCTGACTGGGAGTCCCTAGTTTAATGAGATAAAGTCAAGGTCGGAAGATGGAAGCCAGATGAATAAATTCAAGTATGGACATATTTATGAGTTTAATTATGAAGACAATTTCAGAATTTACTTAGGGGAGGACTTTTGGGGAAGGCACCACTCTTCAGATGAATATGGCTAGGATTTTAAGCCTAACATACTGATAATATTACATGATTGCCTGCAAAGAATCACACTCCGCTAAAGTCTTAGCACTGAAGTGATGTATGTACCTTCTTACAACACCATGAGCCGGTGCTAAGTTTTCTTAAAAAACAAAACAAAACAAAAAACCTTACTAGTATATGTTTCCCACATATTGAACATATTCACCATTGGGCACGGGAATGTGTATGTTTCACCTTAATCCTCTTTACATCCCCCTCTCTCTTTCCCAGCCCCCTAAATTTCCAGATTCATTACACATCTACACATAGCTATCTCTTTTTTAGTCATCATTTCTCTTTTAGTTTGCTTTTAAAATTATTTTTAGTTTGTGGGGCTGGGGAGATGGCTCAGTGGAATAAGCGCTTCCCTGGCAAGCTCAAGGGCCTGAGTTCAATCCCCGGTTCCGCAAAAAAAAAAATAAAAATAAAAAAAATAAAAAAAAATTATTATTTCTAGTTTGGGTTTCTCACATGAAAATAACCACATGATGTATAACCTCAGTGTCTGATTTATTTCACTTAGCATTATGAACTTTTGTACTGTTTTCCTAATGAAGAAGATTGGATCATCAAGAACTAAAATGTATTCTTTTTTTTTTTTTTTTTGCAGAACCAGGGATTGAACTCAGGCCCTTGCGCTTGCCAGGGAAGTGCTTATTCCACTGAACCATCTCTCCAGCCCTTAAAATGTATTCTTGAAGCTGATTCTCCACAGAGTTTTAAGGATTGTGAGTGCTGCCAGGAGCAAGTGGAAGGCCATTCCTGGGGCTGATCTGAGGCAGTAGCTAAGGGAACAGGCTCCCCCTGCAGGTCGTCCAGTGCACGAGGACAGCCTCCAGTTTCATGAGTACACTGTTTGGAAGAATTCAGAAGATAAAAATGTCCCTACTGATCCAGTGTGTGGCTTGCCATTTGGAACATATTTATCTGTTGTTTTGTTGGGAGAAGGCAGCCACATGTTGTAAACTGCTAAGAAAAATTGCATTTGTTTTTATTATGTAGTAGAGTATGATTAGCTTCTGTAGTTTATTTGATGGAGAAAAGGTACCATAAAGAAATGAATACATAAAATCCTAATCATGCACAGGTTGTCTTGGCTTGTTCTTGCTTGTAACCAACTTCTGTAGAGGAAGGGACTGGGTTCTTCATTGGAAAGATGCTACTCATTTACAAATTTCCCTGTAATCTATACTATAAGGGATTCCCAAAAAACTCTAGAGTCCATAGAAATCTATTGGCCCTTATTTTATAAGGAGTATTGTGACAAAAACTTGCACGTGAATGTTTACCTTCACCGAGAATGCAACAGGACAGGTAGCTAAAACTAGGCCAGGCACTGTCTAGATCTTGGAAATGCTTAAAGCTGAGAAAGAGAGAATACTTTTATTCTCTGACTCTTCTAAACTTTTATACTCTTATTAGTTATAGCCTAAATTTAGTTAGTGTCTAGTATCTTTTAGGTACCAGGTAAAGTTCTTTCAAATCTTATATATATTCTTTGTAACAATAAATTGACGTTATTAATTTGCTAACTTGCTCAACGTTGACATAATGTAAAGAAGTATTTAAGCCACAATGTTTCAAAGCAAGAATCCTCAGAAACACAGGAAATAAGAATAAGAGACATGTATTAATAACATAAAATCAACAAAATTAATTAAAATATAAAATTAGTGAAAATACATTTGGAGAAACCAGAATAAAAAATTTAAAAGAAAGTCCATGTTACGGTTTGTGTCTAGTTGTCCCCCCAGAGCCTCATGCAGTCATTGTGGCAGGCCTCTAGAGTTTGTGATTAGTTCATGACCCAGTGCTGGGATTACAGGTATGAGTGCTACACCTGCGCTGGAGTGGGTAATCTGCATACAATGCGGGGCAGAGAGAAATGCTTGCTAAGCACTGCAGCTGCTGCTCCTCCCTTTGCTCTGTGATGTTTTCTGCTACCATAAGCAGCTGCCCTCTGCCATGTGCCACTCTGCCTTCGGGCCAGCTGTGTATGGACTGAAACCTCCACTAGTTATGAGCTAAATAAACCTTTCCTTCCTTAATTTTGGGTGTTGGGTATTTTGTCCCAGCAATGAGAGAAAGATAACTGAGACAGTGCAGAAAGACCGAGTCTTCTATGTCAGTCACAGATTTCAGGGGTGTGGGAAAATTTCTGGCTGAAAGAGGTATTTTTGCAATACATTGACTCCTTTTGGGTATTAGGCATCACAGTTAAGCATCTGATGCTCGATGCATCAACTGTTACCTGATAAGTAACAGTGATCTTAAGTAACCTAGTCTGCAGGAAACACACTGGTAGGGGTCATCCTTATGCAGAGCCTTTAATTTTACCTGTTTTTCTTGTCTTCTCTGTTCTTTAAAGAAAAAAAGTTATTTCCTTATTCAAATATTAATAAATATTTCTAAAACCTTATAAGCTTCCAACTTGATAGATTCTTGCATTTTAATGGGCCATATGTATATTGAGGTAGCTAACATATAAAATGTTAGATAACATATATACCTGTGGTAGTCCTGACACCCAGCACAGTTATTAGGCAGTAATCATACAAGTTTAATGCCCTTCAGTAACACATGATCAGCTTGTTCTATTTCATTAGTTTTCATTATCTGCCAGAGTAAAAGTGAGAATTTTTTTTTTTTTTTCAGAACCGGAGATTGAACTCAGGCCCTTGCACTTGCCAGAGAAGCGCTTATTCCACTGAGCCATCTCCCCGGCCCTGAGAATTTTTTTTCATTGCTAAGTTTTGAATTTTTTTCTCCCTTTGAAAAGTCATATTAAAATTTAATCATTATTTAATGCAAAATTGTATTAATACAAAATTAAAAAACTGAGAAAAATAAGTTTAATTCCTAATATAATAATGCTGAAGGGGCTGAGGAGATAGCTCAGCAGCACAGTACTTGCCTGGCAAGCGCAAGGTTCTGAGTTTGATTCCCAGTGTCTGCATAGAAAAACAAGGCTGAGAGGAAGTGACTGGGCTAGGATTGGGCTCCTGGGCTCAGTGGTGGAGTGCTATCTTAGAAAACATGAGGCTGTGATGTCAATCTACAGCCCTGCCCCCAGAAGGGCAGAGGAGTTGTGGAGTGGGCTTTCTCCCTTGCATACTTCTGCCAGGTGCAGGAGGATGCAGCCTTCCAGCTGCAATCTTGGAAGCAGAAAGACCAGTTCCTCTGTGGTGACACTTTCACTGTGGACATCTCAGCTATGAGAACCTAGAGAACATTAATACTTGTTGTCATAACTTAGTCTTAGGGATTCTGCAATGGAAACACAAAATAGACTACGACAGTCAAACAGTCACACTTCATTTGATCTGTAGTCCTACTGCTGTCAGCCTTTATTCACCTACCAATAAAGGGCTATGTAAGACATGGGAACCACAGGCAGGTTGGAAGGTTGGAAAACAATTCTCTGAGCAATTTAAACACATCCAGAGCTCAAGGAGCAGCCTGCGTTTTCTTTAAAATTTTGTTACTTTGTTCATCATGATTTATTCTCTAAACTTTGATTAAGATATATTGATATTTATTTGCATTACTTATTTTTTAGCACTTGGTTGAGTTTTGCTCTCAGGGTCAGCAGTCTTACCTCTTTGTCCTCATCTGAGCTCTTA